TTCCCAGCAGATCCTCAGCGTGTCAACGATATCATGTTTCCTCCCAAGGACCCGATCATCACTCGCAGTGTTTAGCTCCTTTTCACCCTCTACTGGCCTTTAAATGAGTCTTGGTTGTATCGTACTTGTCACCGAGCATAAGTTGGGTTGGGTCGAAGATTTTGATAGTTAACACATCCCGATTACCCGTACTCGCCCCTTCCAGAAGTATCGGGAATCCTTGGCTCGGTTTAGGCCTAGGAAACGCTAATATTTCCAGAGACTTTTGGAACGGACAAGTCGTGACAAAATATTGATTGAAAATGAAAAAACACTATCATAGACCTTAACCTACAAGTACTAGCAGAAGTAACTCGCTTCCTAGCACATGGTCCGATTTACTGTATTTGAGTTCTCACGGTAGTTTATCCGATGGACTTGTGTAATATCTTGGACAATCAACTTATAATCGAGTGATAGATTTAATACCGTAAAACTCTTGTCCACCATCTACAAGTACGTCTTATGACTAATATCCCTGTAAATCGCGACATCAGCCCATACAGGTTTATCCTGGCAAGTTAACCGAATGTGAAAGCCAGCTAATGAGATCCAACACAGCCAAATGACTCAGGCTATACCATGTCAGGAAACCACTGACTTTCTTAAGAAATTTTGGCTCAGAAGCCGGGGATCACAGGGCTGAGGGAGATGGCGGATTATCATACAGCTTTTTTTATGGTACTCGTACAGTACCTGTATGCTCGAGCACTATGCCAAGTATCGCATTCCCGGGTAGTCTATTGATTTGCTGGGCACGGCGGAATGTCAGTCACGACCGGTACCTCAGAAATACGCACCCTGCTCGAGCACTTCTATATTCTCGGGAGGTCTTGTTCAATAAAATCGAAAAGAGTGAAGCGATCATACAAACAACCCCGCTGTTTTCGTATTATCTGGTCCCACGGCGTACCGTACTTGACATTTCCACCGTGCGCGGCAATGTGGTAGAGTACTTGTACGAGGCTGTGGACAAAAATCACTGCTAGCAATTGTCCATCACAACCACAACCACAATACCAATATTTGATGGAAATGCCATCTACTCCACCACACAAACCATCCCACAGTGAATGGCATACTCCAATGTGAGCTTGAGTACTCACACTACTCACCACTGGCTTGTCCCAGTCTGAAATTTCACAGCAGACTGGGGTTCTACAAGGAATGATTAGTGACTGGAAAAAGCCACCAATCACAAAGACAACAAGATGGCCCGGGGTGCCCACACCTCCTAGATGAATGTGATATTCACCAATTGATCTTCTGTCTCCAGAGCGGCTGGGAGGGGTGATGCCTTTGCTGGTGTAAGTTGAGTCAAGAGGTTGGATTGACTGTTTTTTCAAAAATGATTAAGCGAGCACTTGAGAAGAGGGGATACTCAAGATACAAGTCTTGTAAGATGTCATTTATCAACAAGGAAAACCAGCAGAAGAGTAAAGCTTATGCTGATAAACATATATTCAAGCCAATTAACTGGTAGCAAAAGCATATGTTTTCTAATGAGTGTATTTTTGACACATCTTAGCAAGAAAGTGTCTGGGTTACTCAACTTTGTGGCAAGCACTACTACGACAATTGCATGCAGTATTTGTTCTACAGTAGCCATGCATCTGTGATGATATAGGGAGCCATGAATCACAATTGGAAGTCACCACTTATTTTTCTTGAAGAATCTGGTAAAAAAGGTGTAATTGCGAAAGACTACCTCCAGCAAGTCCTAGAACCCATTATTGCACCTGTCTACATGCATCTCCTCTTTTATGATGCATCTCCTGAGGCTAAATTTATTGAGGACCAGGCCTCAATTCACAGGACTAAAGGAGTTCTTGTAAAACTAAACGAAATGTTAGGTATTCCTCTTCACACTCGGCTGGCCTCATCACCTGACCTGAATCCTATTGAAAATGTATGAAGGATCATGAAGCAAAGAATTAAGGGAAGAAGTACCTTTCTGAAAATGATTCACCAAATGAGAGAAGCAGTTCAGGAGGAGTGGGACCATTTACAGCCTCATGATTAGAACCGCTACATTGATATTATGCCTACAAGACTTGCACATGTCAAGCAATGAAGGAAGATGCAAACTGAATTTTGATGTATTTTCTATGTTACAATTCGCCTCCTGTACCACCTTCTATTTTTTTTTTTTGACAAGGTTGTTTGGGGATGTGGGAGTGTTCGGAGGTGTGTTGTGAGGTTACTAGCGGTGATTTTTGTCCACAGCCTCGTACAATACTTGTACAGTATCCCACTATCCAAACCGATCCCCATCCCTACCCCTACAAAAGAAATCCACTCACTAATCACTCACCAGCTGCCAAGCCATTACCCCCCAGGGTTACTAACGGTAATCCAAACCCAGTCCACATTGCTGTTCTCGAGTATTGTACTCGCGCAGGGTTGTAAAGGTCGGAAAGAAAAAAAGATCGGCAGGATTACGTGGGGAAGTTGGAAGACAGGCAGCGAAGTGGAAAAACTGTTATCTTGGCAGACATCAGGAAACCGGTTGGAGTGACTTGAGAAGGCATTATGAAAATATAAGAATTATAAAAACTGTTATAAATGACAATGTTTTGAGTAAGTGGCTTGCAATGTGCAAGAATAGTAAACTAACGAATATGTTTGAAGGAAGTTTTCTATCATGTCCAGAGTAAACTTGTTCTCAAGAATACCTCCCGCCTGTAAGATAAATAAGATGGCTGTAGTACTAGTAACACAACCGTACTCTGAAGTTCCTATTATCATGGACTTCTCTTTTCTCTTCTCTTTATTATACATGGGAAAGAGATTCTAGCCATGACAGAGTACAAGTTCAGGCTCGGATATCTTGCTTGATTCCGGTAGCCCTCATCACCTGAGTTCTCAGAGCCCTATACAGGCTGCACCTACTCCACCTTCTTCTCTCCAACATAGTACCAGTTTGCCAACCTCCCAGGACTATACTCAACATATGTTCTTTACAGACTATATTGAATAGTATGAAGCTGGGGGAGATGGATGCCTTAAAGGTGTTGGAACTGGAGATAGAAATACTAGTTGTAAGTAAATTTCTAATAGTATAATGCTTTAGCTGTTAGTAGAAATTGGAAAACTATTATTGCCGATCACATACACATCTCGATAAAGACAAGGGTTATATTTTCGGATTTTTAGTAACTGTTATGAGTTCTAGGGCTTGAATCTAAAGTAAGATAATAGAGGGAGACAGATGCTTCAAGTGAAGAAGACTACTCACAAACTGTAATTGCTTTGGGCACTGATAGCCATACAACTAAATATTGCGATAATGATGTAAAGGAGGAATGAGAGGATACTGTGAGCTTTTTGGGGGAGGATAGGTCTGAATGGGATGCAGTATTGGAGGAAGAAAGTGATCACACCTCTGAGTCGAGTATGTCAGAAGAAAACAAGGCCATATTCATGCCTCTACAGTCACAAATTTCTAACGAGGTGTGTGTTCAATTATTCAAGGACTACATACCTATGCGGGCTGGACATATATCCAACTTCACTAAACCTTCCACCTACCCCTTAGCACCCTCTACCATATATCCTTGATAGTACTACTAGGTCTAATATATCCCCACAGCGTGGGTGGCCTCCTACCATTTTACCTGAAACCTAACATCAGCTTATCGAACTAGCTATAATTGATGCCCACCACCGCCGCCTTCTACTAACACAGATTGCTGACCTTGCCGGTATTCGCATTGGACCCAGGGCAGTAAGACGCATTTTTGCTAGCTATGGCTATCAGTGCCGAATTGCTCATGTTAAACCATTCCTTTCTCCGTCAGCCAAAATAAAACGTAAGGATTGGGGGAGAGATACCATGATTGGAAGATAGAGGATTGGCAAGACATTATCTGGTCTGATGAGTGCGCTCTGTCAGTAGGCCAGGTTCCAGGAAATATGTGGGTAACTTGCCAGCCTGGAGAGGAGTTTTTGGAGAATTGTCTCGTACCAAAGTTTAGCCAACTCACTACGGTAATGATCTAGGAGGCAATTTATTGTAACATAAAAAAGCTCCTAGTTATTTGGGATATGAAGAACTGGGGTAGGATTAATAGATCTACATATATTGATTGGATTATTCAGCCTTACCTATATCCCTAGTATATGTTACTTCATGAAGCTGGCAAAATGAACTAGTGCTATATTTATTTTCAGCAAGATGGTACAGCTGCCTATCACTTGAAACATGCTACTCAAGTCTTTTAGGAGTTAGGCATGTCTTCCTATAACTTCCCTTGGCCACCAAGCTCTCCAGATATGAGCCCTATTGAAGGAGTCTGGCGCCTTTTAAAACGCCGTATTCAAAATTGGCATCCCTGCCCTATTACTGTCCCTAACCTCTACTCTGCAATTCAGGAAGAATGGGATCATCTCACCCAGGATGAGATACTAAATCTTATATCTTCTGTTCCGGAATGTGTTGAGGAACTCCTCTTCAATCAAAGTGGTCACACTTCTTGGTAGTAGTCCCTTATATTCAAACTTTTTTTTTTTTTCATTCTTGATGATCTTGATGATATCTCTACTCCACTTATTTTTCCTACTCTACTCTCCAAATATTATTATCCTATCTCCTTTACCATTGGCTTCATTAACTATTCTTATCTTTCATTAGTATCTTCTGTTTACGGCCTTCTATGATAATCCTTCCTAAGACATGTAATTTTCTCTCTAAACATTCAAGTATATCAAGTAATTCGCCATCATGAACAATCACTTGGTGCAACAATCCTTGTTTTTAAGTGTCCTGTAACAGTGTTGTTTTTCCACCCGCCCACTTTGATCAACATGCCTAATCCTTGTCTTGCCACCCATCGTTTTCCGCCCTTTACAACCCTGCGCGAGTACCACAGGCACATGCTATTTCCCTTGCCCTTCCCTTCCTTCCTTCCTTCTTTCCTTCCTTCTTCCCTTCCTTCCCAAATAGCCTTCCCTTCCCTTCCTTTTTCACTTGCCCACCCCTTCCCACGAGCACTTGTCTAAGCTAAGCGAACGACCACATTGCCTCTTCACCAAATCCCTCACTTCACCCCACCCCATCGATACTGTGCTCTCACTCGCTCACTATTGCACTCATACGGTACCCTACCAGGGCGGAGACTTCTCCTCTTTTTTTCACCTTTGCACTTCTTTTCCCTCTCTTCCACTCCTTCTCGCTCACCATTACCAGCGTCGCCTATCCACCCATCAGTCGGTCGGTCTGTCCTCACTTATCTTACTCCCTAACGGCCATCGCTCGGAGGAAGTGGCAGAAGAAGGGCCAATCGGGCACGAGCATAGATAAATAGATCAAACCAGAGAAGAAAAGAAGAAAAAATGTCCAAAGTCTCCTTCGCAACCTTTCTAATAATATGCCGTCCGTCCCCCTCCTCCCCCTCCTTCCCCCAGCTCCTTTAACAAATATGGCAAAACAGCAACCTGCTTCCTCCTCGGCACCATCTTCACAAACTGGACATTCGACCACGCAACCCTCTGGACCGCGCTGCCGCCCACAGCCCCCACCCTCGCGGCGATAGAATCACACTACACACAGCTCCACCATGCGCCGCCCATCATCCCGCGCGTGCTCCACATCACGATAGGCACGGGCATCCTTGGCTTCCTGGTGAAGTTGTACAAGCCGTCGGAATCGAACATGCTGTTTGACGGTGCCAGCCTCGTGCTGTACATGGTCGCGCTCGTGATGTATGGCACCAACGTGGTCAAGGGCATGCGCATTATCGCCGGCGGCGATTATGGCGAAGAGGTGGGCCGCGTGGATACGCTGCGGGTTGTGGCGGCGAGTCAGGTTATTATTGCGCTGGTGCTTGTAGGCGTGCTCGTGCTGCAGAGTGGGCAGTGGTATGCCGAGAAGAAGGAGGAGCAGGAGGTTCGCGGGCTAGAGTTGAAGGAGAGGGAGAAGGAGGAGAGGAGGGGGGGTGGGAAGAAGAGGAATTGATTGTGCTCGCGTATACTCTTAAAGTGGACTACGGAAGAGGGGACGGAAAAAGACTAATGCACAAATCGATCAATCACCATCAAAAAAAACAAAATTCGCACTCTCAAGATACGGATTCTCAATCGCTCCCTTCCCACATGCTCCATCCGTACACGTACATCAACTGCCGAATGCAAGAGAATAAGATAGGGTAAACCCCTGCAATTATGATAATAAGAAGTAAAAAAAAATAAACAAAATCAATTACCCCCCCTCCAAGCAAAAAGCAAAAATCAGTACCATCAAAAAGAAGAAAAAGAGGCGACATAACGAGAGACTCCATCCCAATGAACCTAATTACATCGCCCACAAGCAAACAAATTTCTCCTTTGAGAAGAAAATATGGCCACAAATGAATAGAAAAAGAACATCTGGTCCACCCCACGAGAAGAAAAAAAGCAAACAAGATGATGTGATATCGATAAGACAAAATATACGACAGCAAGGATAAAGTAAGCAAACAGTAAACAAATGAATGGAAATATAGCCAATCAAGGAAAGGGGGAAAAAAACACTTTTATGTCACGCTACTCCTCGATTACCCAATGATCGTTGATGATATGATATACAGGCAGAAAGTTAAAAATAAAAAAAAACAATTTGCGACTCCAAAGATGGATGGACAGACCACTGGGTGTCATCGAACATATCGGGGGGGTCCTTCGTAGCATTCGTCCTCAAGGATTGGTGCCGAAGGGGCTGATATTGTTGTGTCCGATGACTCAACGGATTCCTCTGGAGGAGCGCTAGCAGCTTGGAGGAGTCTTTGACGCTCCATCCCTAGTTTGTCGCCTTCCGCCAGTTGGCGGTTATCATCCCCGCTCGGAGATGGAGCAGAGGGGTGGATGTAACATGCTGGTGAGGAAGGGTCCATAGGAGGGGCACTTGGTAATAACTGCTCTTCCGCAAGTATCAGGTGGGTCTTCTCGTCCATTGGGTTCTCGGGCCTCGTCTCAACCGGCGGGAGTGGCAGCAACAACGACCCATCTATCCGTTCGTGTCGGAAATACTCCGGCGCCTCGTCCTCCATCTGGTCCGGGGCCTCACTCCCCTCCATATGCGAATGTGACGGGCGTCTTGGAGTAGAAGGAGCAGTGTCATTAGCCTCAGAACCCTCCTCCTCCTCGACAGTTTGTGACCGCGTTAAACTCTTGGCCGAGACACCTCCCCTACGACCCTTCCCACCGACCGAGTCAATGCTCCCAATAATAACCTCGAACCTGCAAAACACGATCCTCTTCTCCCTCCTTATCCTTTCTGTCTCCACCATGACTCCTCCTTCCACTGCTATCCCGGCATTGGCACCACCAGCATCTTTCTCCCCGCCGGTACCCGGCCTTGGTAACCCCAGTATGGATGCGCCACCCTTGAAAAAGTCATCTCTGCTACTTAGTTTCCCACCAAGATCCACCACCACCTCCACATAATACCTAAACGAGACGCCGCCGCCCGGGACATTGACGATGGTCGGGAAAACATCCTCGGGAACCCGCAAGTTTGCCCTGACGACCGTTGTCAGTGACTTGGGGTCAATCATCAATGGCAATACTGTCTGTGCCAAGTCCTTACGGAAAGTGCCGCCGCAAGTCCCTCCGGTAGCGGCTGACGAGAGCGCCTTCTTTAACGGCGGATGGCTGCGCGAAGGGGGGTCGAATCTTGTTTGTCGGTGGAGGGTCAGTATTATACCATTCAATGACTTGATTGGCTTATTATGATGTATCGAAATTTTCACGGGAATATTGTCCCCGCGTAAGGCACCAGCTTTCATCAACGTTATCGATGCAGTAATAGTTTTTGATCGGATCATTCGAGATGGGTCCGTTGATGGCGTCGGTGATGGGGCTCGGGGCTCGACGTTTGGTAGATTTCCATTAGAGTTGTTTGGCGACGGCGTAGTAGACTGGTCTCTCCCAGTTCCGGGTATTGGGGACGAAGGCCTTTGTTTGTTTCGTGGCTTTTTCGATACTATCGGTTCAAGGGATATGACTCGGGGCTTTGGAGCGGACAAGTGAGCGATATCGATCGTTTCCACGAATGAAAGCTTCGTAGTGCACGTAGTTGTAGGCGAGATGGTAGTCGGTCGAGTCAGCGTTGACGATATTCTGTACGATATTGAGCCCTTCTCAAACTGTATCATCGTTAGTTCCAGACCATAGTTCGGTTTCCGGGAAAGAGCATCCATGGCACAGAAGACTAACATCCAAAGAACTCGGCAGTCCACCGGGCAACTTTCCAACTAATGCAAATTCCAACTCAAAACCAAACTTGTAAACTCCAGGCTCAAGCCTCCCCTCCCCGCACAATACTATCTCGTCCCTGCATACCGTGACACCACCGGATAACCCATCAAACTCCTCTTCCCATTCCTTACCTTTCTTTCCCCCACCCTCCCGCGTATACAGTGAAGCCTGCAAATCCACCCTACCAATAAGATTGACGACCAGGTGAGTAAGTGTCAACGGTCGCTCGACTTTGACACACACACAACCCTTAACGACATCGTTTGCCAAGTACACCCTATGCGGGTCGTCCAGCTGAATATGAAAGTCGGCCAATATCCTCCTCCGGGGTGCCCGTAAACCAGGAAGCGATAACGAAGATGTCTTTGACCGAAGCCGTGTAAGAAGCCCGGTTCTCGGGGGAGGTGAGTCGGTGACCATGACGGAACAATAGGGAAAATCACGTCCAAAGCCGAACAAAGGAAGGAAAAAGCTTTAACCCTCTTATTCTCTCTGTCTCTCCCACCACGTTTCTATTCCTCCACGCGAACCCCGTGCTGGAAAGGCTCCCCGAGGCGCGTAAAAAATGAGCGAACGAATGGAGCGAAGAGGGAGGGGAGGCGTTAGAAAGGACAGTGTGCCAGCGTTCACTTTTCGCCGGAGACAGAAAGGGGGGTTGTTCAAAGTGGAATTGAAATCTATACGGCAAACCCGACCGGCTAAAACTCAACACATCGGTGGTTTAGCAATAGGAGCAAGAGCGGGGCGGGGTGGACCGCCGAGCATCACTAATAATTGAGAAGAAATCAAATACAGGGAACGCGCGTCCCGAGGTAGCGACACAAGCGCAAGTGTATCAGGAAAAGCCAGGGCAGGAAACAAAAGGGAAAGAGAATAGAAAAATAAAAATAAAAAATAAAAAATAAAAAATGAGAAGAAAGAAGAGATAGGAAAACAAAAGGTATCCTTACCAAACAATTAAGTTAGACAATAGTTGTCTCAATGTCACCCACAATATAACTTATTCACGACACTTCCCAATCCACGGTCAAGGTTTCCCCGGGTGGGGGGGGGGTTTACCGAACAAAAGGAAGCTTGGGATTAAACGGAACAGGCAAATTAAAAACCCTCGATTCCTTTTCCCAAAAAAGCTTATTAAGAGCGAAGAAGGTAAGGGAGGGGACTGTGGTCAAGATGCCGAGAGGTTGTTTTGCTGGGCAAACAGCAATCAGGGTCAGACCCGTATTACAGGACTAATAGGAGCCTCCAAAAACGAAGCAAAATGGTAAGTAGTGTAAAAGGGAAAAAAAATAAAAAGGCTTATCGGTATGGGATGAGCAGCAAACAATGCCCCCTCTCCCCCTTGTAGGTGACCGAGGTGATGTACCTAGGCTTACCCGAGTAGAGTACCCACCCGAGGTGGAGGGTTGGCTGGGATGGGATGGGATGGACGAGCCAAGCGATAATGGGTGATGGATTTAATGATTATTGTGGTGGTAGCAGCAATGGCAGGCAGTTGGACGGGATGGGGAACGGAAGGGATGGGTGGATGGAATGGATGAGGGTCTTGGCTGCAACACCAAGAAGGAGAAGAAGTGTGAAAAGGGATGGATGGGAAGAAGAGGAAGATGGGGGAAGGGGAAGGGAGCACGGTAGAAGCTCTGGGCAAAGAAGTGTACTCGTACAGTACCGGTACTAGAGTGCTGGAGTACGGTAGGGTCGGGTATGCTTCGGCAGAGTGTGTGGTAAGGACCAGGAGGTCGGAGTTTGAGTGATTGAGAGTGAGAGGAAGAGGATGAGCGGTGTGAGGCAAGTCGATACCGCAAAGTATCGCACTGGTATGATACAGTCACCGGTACTCGTGCTGCACGGTGAAGGAGTGAGAGAGGTGAGCGAAAGTAAAGGCAGGAGGAGAGCCAAGAAAAAATAAAAGGGAGGGAGGAAAGGCAGGTAATTTAGGGGAAGGAAATAATGACCGTGGGACCCCGATAGCAGCAGGGGACTCTTCGGGGGTGGAGATCGTCTCCACAAGGGAAGAGTCTTCCAAAAGTTGTGGTTGGACGAGAATACTGAGTTCTCATACTTTCCTCGACACCACCCACCACCACCCTCACACACCCATGCCAACATGCGAAGCAGCAAACAAGAATTGACATCTCACATACGAAAAGACACTCAACCGACTTTCCCTCCATACCGATACTGTAGACTATCGTACTCGAATATCCCTCCCTCCATCTTTCCTCTTCTCATATCCCACCTAAACACATCATCTAACAGACACAAGCCTTTACCGATTACCGATTCGCTTAAGACACAATAGCCCCCTATGGTATGCCATGCTAATCCTTCACCCCTACCCTCCTCCTCAAAGGGGGGAAAAGAAAAAAGAAAAGAGAGAGAGAGAGAGAGAGACAGAGAGAGTTTCAAAAGCTCAGCCAATTTCGCAGCTAAGCATTCTGCACTCGTGCCGGGAAAAGCATAGAGATCTCTTGGAAAAAATGCTTGTTCTCACCACCAGCCTACCAGCCTCTGCCACCCCAAACCCCAAGCATCCACATCCGGTGCACACACCACACCTCGCACCACACACCAAACGCACACATCCCTACCCTACCCACTCCCACACTACCGTAAATAACGAACAAAATAAAACAAAAATAGAAAAAGGACACTCGGGGCTCACCTCCGCTCCCCTCTCCTACCCTCTCCCTCTTTATCCGTCCTTCGCGCCATTTTTTCTCCCCTCCTTTGAGACCTTTGAATTACACAGCTTCCCACAAAGACTTGAGCGTTTCGGCACACGTGATATGCACCGACACATGGCGTTCTGTAAGAAACGGTTGCGGTTAACCTTCACCCGACACTCAACTCGTACAGTACTCGTGCTCGACAGAGTGCCGGTATTATAATACCGGTATCGCGCATCCTATTGTCCGGTCGGCCAAGCTTTGGGGCTCGGGCTTGAGAGGTGGGACCGCCTCCGTCGAGGTGGGGGAGGAGAAAAGGTCCTTCGTTCCTCTATCCTTCGGAGAAAAAGAAAAAATGAGAGAGAAACTCGCTCTCCCACCGTACTTTTCTCCTTTCTTTTCCCCCCTTCCGCAACCATTTGCGCACACATCACGGAAAAAGGAATGATCACCGGATAGTCTCTGCCGGTCGCGCTTTCTTTTTTCCCCTTCCTTGCTTGGTGAGGGGAAACAAGCTTTGATGAGTCATTCCGCACACAGTTCTGCGTGCCTTGGCTCCCCATCAACCCGATCAAGTGAACCACACACGTTGGGGAAATTTTTTCCATACCGACATGCATGCGTCCATGCGTCCTCGTAAACCAATAACCCCCCCATCAGCCCGGTCTTGCGTTGTAGGCAGGGAGTCACTTTCGATCCGATCCGATGCCCAGTTCCTGAACAATATGGTACTCTGGACCAACGTATCACCCTTGCCATGAATTCAGCAGTAGCCAACCTATACGAGTACAACGGGGAGAGAAGAAAGGGACACGCGACGGACAGCGGCGGGAGAGGTGAACGGAATAGGGAAGCTTGTTGGCAGACCCTTGTAAAAGCGCGATGCTCTACTCGTACTCGAGCATTCGAGCACTAATGCCGGTATGGTATCGTACTAGCACAATACTGGTACCGCGTCTTATATTATATCCTATGGTACGAGTAGATGTGAGCACCGGACTCGACTACAGCACCAGGGCGACAAGTGCGAACCTAAAGTCAATGGCCTCTGGAAGTTCGGCACCCCCGAACAACACGCGTCACTGCAGCCTCGAGGCCCAAGCACAAACGTCATCAGTATGTTGGTTCGTTTGCCCCTCGCTGTGATAGGCAGGCGGAGGCCGGGTGCGGTGCAGGGGGAATGCAGCAATGTCGAGCTGAGTGCCGGTATGCCGAGGGACATGGAGGATCACTCGGATTAGCTCTCTTTCAAGGGTTGGGGAGAGAATAGCGTGATCGAGCAGGAACTCCCGATCGGCAGAGGTAGTTTGTGGATTAATTACTGCAAATGGTTGAGCATGTCAGTGAGCGGAGGAGGCCAGTAGGCAGGCCGGGCAAGCCGGGGGGCGGGGGCGGGGGGGCTGATGGGAAGAAAGGAAAAAAAGAAAGAAAGTAGACACCAACGCACTTTGACTTATCCAAAGGTATTCACCAATACGGCATTGGCGTTGTACGAAGGTACAGCGGGGGGCAAAATAAGTTCACATTTTACGTAAGCAAAAATACATTGGGTGGCAACCAGTGAATCCTTACATCATCACCAATACAACAATCTGTCCTGTGCAAATAGTACTGCAAATATCACACCTACAACCATGACCTTCTATCCTGAACTTGAGACTCATTTTTCTCATAAGGATGGATCTGAGTTGACACCATATGAGCAAGGAATACTCGTGGGAATGAAGTGGAAGCAAGCTATGTTTGACGTGATTAGCAAGGAAACAGGTGTTTCACAACGAACAATTCAGAAAGTTGTAAAAAGAGCATGAACAGACCAAAAGTATCAGGGCCAGAGCTTGGTAGGAGGGAGAGGAAGGCCAAAAAAGCTTTCAAAAGATCAAGAGAATGTTGTAAGTTATAGATATTATTTATATTGGTATTCAAGTTAATAAAAGTAGGTATGTGATATGGCATGCAAGCATCCAGAATACAGCCATGAGCAGCTCGTGAATACTGCTGCCCCCAAAAAACAGCTGTCTACTTGAACAGTCTGTCATTGTCTAAAAAAGCAGGAATTAGAAAATGGATGGCCAAAAAGCACTTCATGTTAACTGAGTTCGATGCTCGCAGCTGGCTTTAATTTGCACGCAAAGGGTCTCATTTGATGGCGGATGATTAGAAAAGCTGTTTTGCTTTTAGTGATGAGACATATGAGCGCACAGGGGCCAATAAGGGTCATTCTCAGTTGTGGTATTTCTGGAGCTCTCGGTTTACACCAGCTCGATGGTGGCGATGCTGTCAGTCTAAATATCATGGCCATTTTGTAAATACCTCTGCTCGTCAGGCTCAGCATAGTATAGGAGTAATGGTATAGAGTACAATGATGGGAAAGACAAGGACCCCATTAATCTGAATGAGTAGAGATCCTAATGCCGAAAGGTAAGGTGTTACTGGCTGTGTTTATTTACCAATCTTGGACTATGAGTTGCCGATTTTGGCTTAAGCAGTTCCTTGAGGTCAGATATTCTATTTTATGTAAGATGGTACTGATATTCATCACTGGACTCCTATAAAGGAATGGCTACAGCATTTAGAGCGAGAATGTAACGTGTTCGCACGGAGCTAATCACGTTGTCGGTAATAGATACGATAGTTGGCAGGTGGCCTGCTCTTCCAGAGAGGAGGCGAGAGCTGAGAACTAAAGGAGGCTTCGAGGGTGTACTGGGGAACAAAGAAGTAACCGTTCAACCAAGTATATTGAAATACTGT